AGAACCATCGAATACATCACTTATATACGAAAAATACTACAAGATTGTATGCTTCTGTGGTAGAGCTTATGTTAATGAGAGGTGTCTGCCTATCCGCCAGAGTTTAGCTTAAAACATAAATGCTTGTAAAGACAGCTGGGTCCAACGGTCAGAAGTGGCCGAACACATGGCCAAGAATGGACATGGGATATAATAGTTTAAAACGATGAGATTTGCTGATTATGGTATGTCTGCTGTTAAAATAAAGATGAGGGGCTAGTGAAATTAATAGATTAGGTACTATTTTGAATGTAACGAATGGTAGTAAAATGTTGAGAAAGAACTACTTATGGTTAATTAACGGATCGAAAAAGAAAACAGGATTTAGATTGTCACATCATTGATGGTTCTAACTTCATTCACACTCGTCCAGCATATCAGATTAAACACGTCAATCCGATCAGACGTACAAGATAACGCAATCCCAGTTTAAGCCTTAATGACCCTATGCCGAGATAATATTACAGGTGGATTGTTAACATGACTTACATTCTTACAAGCGTAAATCTCATTAGCCCAACTAGAATTACTTACGAATTGACTCAGTTTGATTCAGGGCTTTTTATGAGGTTATTAAGCCTTGATGACGTTAGGCTTTTGTAAGCCCTCTTATTTAGGATCGCTCTTGCGTATAGACGTTAATACGCACACACAAATGCGCGTACATAAACTTAAGTGAAAGTTCCATGGCCAATATGAAAGAAAATTAGCCAAATCATTTGTTAAAAGTGTATAAAAGGCATTATATGTGTTCACCCTATTTCGTTTAGGGTGGTGAAATACTGGTAGTTGACTTTTCCCACAACTACACGTTTAGATCCTCCTTTTCCGTTGAGTTTCGCAAGACCTTGCTTCCCAAAAGGTATTTCACTCAGACAAGTGTGGACTGCAATTTCGACCTCACCTAAACTGGTCTCATCAGCACTCATCACTGAACTCGGCGTATAATCTCGACACGTTAACCACTACGCCACATTACCACAAGTTCCATGGGCCACAAGGCAGATGTGAATTTCAAGTAAAGCCAGGCAGTTTACTAAATCACATTCTGAGTTGGGATAGTAGATGAAGCAAACTTATATTTGCTGTAGCAATCAACTACATTACTTATTTTTCCTTTTTAAGTATGGTTCCGAGACTAAAAGTAAATCTGACATATGAGGTGTATTCACTCTATTTCGTTTAAGATCTCGTAATCCTACTCGAAACCCAAACGAAAAAAACATGTAAGATGTAAAATAGAGCCGAAAAGTCTTCTTGATTTAGTGTAAACTTGAAACTTGAAGAAGAATGACTTCCGGCTCGGATGATCTCCTGTTATATGGTGGACGAAAGCTTTTTTACTACCAGTAAATCATGAGTCGTGTTCAGCCTATTTAGTTTAAGGTTATTAAGGACTGGTAGTTGAATGTATGTTTGCTATAGCAATCGACAACGTTACTCGAAACCCTACTTTTATACGAATATACTTAATAATTGTTTTGCATGCATATGTAAATATAATTATATCTGCATTAAAATAGTGGTGACCCTAGGCCACTTGACTGCTCCAAAGCCTAGTGGCTACGTCTTGATGCTTGGCACTTATGACTGTGCTTTTAATCCTATCAAAGGGGTTGACGAGATGCCAAAATCTACATTACAACATAAATGAGAAATAATTGTGGTAAATCATGTGAACTTTAATAGAAGATATGAAGACCAAGATGGCGTGGTCTTTGGTATGGTCACAGTCTCCTTTCGATGAATAGAAGTGGGTTGACTTCGTTTTCCCAAATTGGTCGTAGTTCAACCGTTTTGTCAGTAAGTTGAGCAAGATATTGACTCCACTCGTCTCTTTGACGAGTTGTAGCTTGGTTCTGAGAATGGCAAGGCTCACTGATGATATCGACTAGGATGCCGGCGAAACGTCTGAGAATGTACTAAGTCCCCCTTACAAGGCGTGCCAAACTAAGTCGCTCTGGCAACACGACCAGGTTGCGAAAACCCACTTTTACCAGAGGAGTTAAACCCCTCCCTAGTTGGCTTGAATCGCCATTCTGCAATGAACATTATTGTTAAACGTTTTCAATCTGCATGCCTTAATAAAAAATTGTGGGTTATTGAAATTTGCCCCCTTTTTCACCTGTTAGTTCGCATTTGACTAACTTGTATGATCTTTTGAAGGGTTTCTTCATCATGGAGGTTTATTTTTATAGATATTTTACTGAAGATCTATGTCCATAGCAGAATGGCTAAGGTCTTTGTCCAACCCCAACCTTCCAAGCAGCCGTCAATACTGAGAACCCTTGATTTAAATTGAGCTATGTAAGGATGACAACAGCCGACATTTAGTGTATCAGAAGTAAGCTCTTAAAAATTGTCTGCGGTCTTTATTACGTAGATAAAATTAGTGGGGTATTTGAAGAGGAATATTAGTCTCTTTAACTATTAGATGCCAAATGAGATGACCGATGAGACAAGGAAGTGAGGTCGAATCTGCCCTTCCCTTCTTTGGGACGTAATGCGGTTTGAATTTCATTGTAATATCAAGCCTTGTATTCACTAAATTTTCGAGAGAATCGCTTTTGGCGCTTCCAATATATACAAATATAATCAAGAGATACAGTAGCTCAGGGAAGACAGAGATGGTTATATCTACTAGGATCTAGAATTTGCCATTTTGTCTGAAGCTTGATATAAGTAGAATAACTTATTAAAATTTGATAATTTGATAATTTTTATTTATTTTATATCCCGCTGGAATTTGTCTTGAAATTATCACTAATAATTGCATAAACTCTTAGTTCCTCCAGTTCACTTGAGATGATTTCATGGCTGATTATGAGGATTATCTCACAATGAGGCTCAATATTCCATAAAATTTCAACTATTTTTTAGAAAGCATCAATAATTTTTGAGTAAGTGCTTAGTCACCCTAGCTCGCTTAACGTGATTTGAAGACTGACAATTTAGTTCTCCCCATATAAGATGAGTAGACAAGATACAGTTAAATTACACTTAGCCTTACCTCCCAAAAGGCTATGTCATCCAGGCTGGACTGCAGAACATAAACTAATAATTTGAATGTATGAGTTATGTTCACCCTATTTCGTTTAAGGTGCTGAAAAACTGGTAGTTGAATTTTCCTACAATAATAGGTGTAGAGCTGACGTTTCCATTGAATTTCACATAGTCTTACTTTCCCAAAACTTGTTATCATCCAAGGTGGACTGCAGTTTCGACCTCGCATAGGTAGCACCAATACCCTCAGCGGGAGTCGCACAATGAAAGTGCAACGTGTAATCCCAACGGTCTGACCACTACGCCACATAGCCATAGGAAATATAAATTGACTTAATCAAAAATCCCACTAGAGAATGTGATATTGGAAAGTGCCTGGCCTTTCTTGAAATTCACATCTGCTCTGTGAACCAAGGACATTCTTGGAAATGTAGCGGAGTGGTTAACACGTTGAAATTACATGCCTTATTGTCATAGTTCGACTGCCTCAGGGGGTCTGCAATACCAAAAGTCTACGCTCCGATCAAGCGCAATCGCATCAGCCTTGGGGCTGTTTGCAAAATGAAGGATAAAATGAATTGTACGTGTAAGCGGATTTTTGACCTTTTGGACTTTACTGCCCCACCCATCAAAAAGATTTGTGTGTGGTGAAGAGGCGAAAGCATATGTCCCTACATATTTGTAGGGTTCGAATCTTTATTCAAGCTCGTCTACCAAATGTGCTAGGGCATTCTCAGGTCTCCTTGGTGAAATATGTACAGTTATTTAAGGAAAGCACCATTTTTTGCCAAGCTATGCGTGATTTCGTTATCAAGAACTATGGTCACTGAAGGTTGAATTTGGTATCTAAGATCACGACGTTTGTTGATACAGCTGCTTTGGACTACTCGAGAGAGGTTGTTGAGGTGGTGCTGATCAAGATTCTCCTGCGTGTATTGGGAGAGACCCTCTCAGTCAGATGAAAATGTCAATGTGGTGGTTTTCTCATGTCATCCTTTTAACAAAGTCGATGGAAAGTGTAGAATTCAGATTTCACACGGGAATTAACTGTTCAAAATGATACAGACCAGTTGTTCATGCGCTGGTCCTGATAATAATTTCGTTGGTAAGGCTGACAAATGGCTTCGAATGAGTGTAATCAAGCTTTGTAAATGGTTTGTTGCCAAGTGAGCAGGCAATCTGATTTCTGCACATTGTTTTAACCAAAAATATGGTTGAGACAGGTCATACATTCGGCTGACTCCTCTGCTGTGTCTTGGCCTCCCCTTCCAGACCTCCTTTTCTCAGCTCGACCTCATCAAAGTGTCGTCGTCTCAGCAACTCCTGCGAGGCGGGATTTCCATTCGGCCTTTTTAACATGATCCTGGCCTGAGCCAGTCCTGTACCGGACGATTTTGTAAATCTGGGGCCTGGTTCCACCAAAGCTCGCACAGGCACCGCTCTGAAATGTTCATTAACCTCGGCGCCCCCGGATCCGATGGAGTTGGTCAACGATCCAGACAGCGAAGTGGCCCCACTTCCGGGCCCAGGCTCGACGGCGAGGGGTATCGAGAGCGAGGCTGTTGACGACGAGCGGCCCGACTGCGGACTCTCCGGCCTCGGAGCTGGCGGAGTCTGCGCCACCATTTTCGGGTCGCGCCCAGTGCCCAAGTTTCCTGGGCTCAACGACGTGGAGACGAGGGGTCTTTCGGCCCTTGGCGACACAACTGTACTGCTCATTACATTGTTGTGCCTAACTAAAAAATTGCTGATGGCATCTGAGCACACCGCGGGGCTCGTATCAGCGACCGTCAAGAGGGAGCCCGGCGGCTCGCCGTTCTCCGAAGCCACGTCAACGCCTTCACGGAGGAGTTTGCTTCGGGTTTGTTGGCACTCGTGAAGGGCACCTCGCAAATTGGCGTATTCCAGGAACTCTTCTTTACAGCGACACAAAACACGAATGAATTTTTCCCCCTCTTCCGTAAGACGATTCAACTGCCAATCGGCGCGCTTCTCCGAGACGCATTTCATACGTTTTAGTCCGTTGGCAACACTCGGTTGTATGCTCTTGCCGTCCATCGGTTCACCGGTTGCGTCATTGCTTGCCGTGTTGTCGTGCGTGCAGGCGACACCGTCTTTAGAATGCTTATTCTCCTCCTCATTTACACATCTTCCGGTTCTGGCCGCGGCCGTTTGGCCGTCGTCATCACTTCGGCCCATGTACTTGTGGTCAAAGGGCAAGCCCACTTCGGTGTCGCTGTGGCGTTGGGCGTAAGGAGAGTTCGCCTCTTTCAAAGCTACATTCCTCATGTCGTCTTGTCGGTCACCGACAGGCTCTTCAGATTGGCCCATCTGATTGACAAGGGGTACCGGAGCCCCTTCGACGACCCGACAACCAATTGGCTCCAGCGTTGCCGTGTCCACACATTTAAAGGCCTGACCAGCTCCAGTACCGACCGGCTGAAGGCTGACGAATGCAGTCATCGTTGGAGCCTGGTCAACGGCATGACACGTGGTCGTTGAACGGCTCGTAGAAAACTTCGTCTCGGTCGCCTTCTCGTCGGCCTCATCGTTCACCTGCTCCTCCGAGTCATACTGCGTGGTCTCTTCAAACCGGCGGTTGACATTGCGCATGGTCACGCCCGGAGGCTCAAACGTGGACAGGTCGCCAGGGCAATATGAGATACTCAGGTCCTCCAGCAACGGACTTTGCTCACTGGCATCATACGGGAAGAGGGTACTCTCGTGTCTCAGCAACATTTCCTTTTCCTGACCCAGAAACTCGGGTCTGGCAAGGCTCCACTCGTATTTTTTTAACCCCGTCACCAACAGCGTCTCCAGATGCCGGAGCTGCTGTCTCATCACAAACATTGTCGCCCTGCTCGGCACATGTTCAGCCTGGTCAACGCGTTCTTTCGTCCTCACGAACCATTTGCACACGTATGACATCAAGTTTTCCAGAATTTGCACTTGATCCTCCAATGATAGGTTGTCATGACCACTATCCTCTCGATTATGGGACCTTGACCCTTCGTATTTGCTCTTCGCTCTTATAGACCGCCTGACAGCCCATCTTTTGATGTAATTCTTTAATGAATCGCCTCTGAAGCCCAGAGACTTGGCGTAATTTTCTCTTGTCTTGAGACTGGTGGCCAGGCTGTTACGAGCTTGCGTTGAGTCAGACGAATTAAGCCCTGTTGTACCCTCAGCTTTGTGCCCATGGCTACAACACTTGTCTGCACTGTTGAAAATCTTGTCATCGTATGCTATCCGGCTGCTACAATTCCAAGGTCTTCGGAAGTTGGGGAGGAGTCCCAGAGGAGACTGCTTGTCAAGCGGTACATTTTCATGCTTTTCATGGCGATATGGCATAGTTGTTCTAATCCGGTCGGCTATAGTCGCATTTTTATCTTTCGCCTTGCCTCCTCTGAGAACATGCTACTCTTTAGTTTAGAGTAGCCCATAGCACACGAAATTTAAATCTACACAGCGGATCGATCTTTAACCGCAGACATTGGCCCTCCGTGATTCAGTTCGCCCGCCCTACTCTGGGAATAAATGGTGCTTCACTCAACCAGCATTTGGGACAAACTGACGAATTTACTCTCTCGCGACGACCCGGATGGGGGCAGAAATACTCTTCATTGTGTCCAGGGAAGAGGGCCTCTAAATGTTTTGCTTTTGCCTTTGCTCAGCTCCCAACATTTTCTTCAGCGGGGTTAGTGTTAAAATCATCGGTAAATCTGAGTCTGGGGTCGAAATTCGGTTGAACGAATACCGGCTGGATGGTAGCTTCATGCACCTTTCTCGGTGAGCGCTTGATCGAGCCTACTTGCTTGAGCAAAAGTTGATAAAGCAAACTCACACCTGAAATATTTTTGGTCGAGTATGGGTGGGTTACCGACGACCGCTCGAATAGCACAAGGGATGAGCATGTTTTTATAATGACAACCGATTTTGGGATTATTCAAGCATAAGACCTTTATGGCCTTTATAATAGAACCAAAGATGGTGACGTGATTATTGAAGTTAATGGACGAAATCAGTTCGAATCACTGACCCTAATACATATGCTGCATTCGCCCCCTATTCCTTTTAAGTTTTGAAATGACTGGTAGTTTAATTTCGACAGTGATATGAATAGGTTTCACGTTTTAATTGAATTTCGCATGTTCTCGCTTACAAAAAGGTATTCCATTACTGGATAGACTTCAGTTTCAACCTAGCTCGGGTCTTGTCAGCACCCTCGGCGGGAATCGAACCCGAGATGTCATAGGGAAGCGTATAGTCTTAACACATAACCACTGCATCCTACTGCCTCGAGTGCCCTTGGGTCGCGGGACAAGAGTGCATTTCATCCGGTGGTTGGATTGTCGACAAAGCAAACTTGTATTTAATATAGCAATCGACTACAC